CAGATACTAATCTTGGAATAGCGTTAAATTTTGAAAGTTTTGAAAGAAGGGTTTCACCAATGTAACATTTTTAAAAAAATAATAACTTCTTTATTTATGTAAATAATCAATCAATACTTTAATTGGAATAAAATATTTTAAAAAAAAATAATTGCTGAAAAGACAGTATTTGGGATCACATTGTGACATTATTTGTGATTTTCTTCCCAATTATCAATCTAATTATAATATCCTTACATATTGGAAATCTAGATATTATTAGGTCCTGCATATGTGACGTTATTATGTCCTTTTTTAATTTACGAAAACCGGAGAAAAAAAAATTATATGAATTTAGCGCGTCAAAAAAAAAAAAATCAGACACGTTATTGGGATTAAAAAAAATTAGATCTGAGATATCGACCACTGGAATTAGGTAACACCGTCGACAAAAAAAATATGTCGTTTTCTTAGGCACCTGTTGAGGATTTTTCCAACGCGACATTTCTCAAACAAATTATTTTCCTTTTTTTTCCTTTATTGGAACAAAGAAATATGGGGAAAGAAAAATGAATGATGATATGTCAAAGATGTGCATTCTGCAAAGTACATTTAATGAATAATTGTGCAGTTATAACAGGAGTTTAGGTCGAATTTGTTTTATTATAAAAAAAAAAGAGAAATAATGTGGTTCGTAATTACTTATTAGGTGACAAACAGGTTCCAAAACAGGTAGTCACCCGCAGCTCCCAAAAATGCAATTTCATTGCAAGCGTAACTAGTTCGAATAAGGAAATATAAAAAGTAAATTGGCGCATTTAATTCGTCATTCTTATGATATTGACCATAAAGTGCATGCATTCTCAAAAGTACCCTCAAAGTACCCGACATTTGCATTCGTATCTAGACAATTCAGTTAACCTAATTTAAAAAAAAATAACTCGGAACTGACCGAGAGCATATCATTAATCCTTTTTAAAAAAATGGACAAAAAAACTGATTCCTTTTATGGTAAGCTTTGTTAGGTTGATCCTGCAATTGTCCTGTAAGATAAGTAAAAGAAAAAAAAAAGAGAGAAAAAAAAAATTATTTTTAATTAGAAAGAAATACCTAATTTTTTTTTTTTCACTGTCAAAATAAGAATTTGATTTGCATTCCTGTGGGAAAAAGACGATGCCGCAATAAGTGAAGAACCACAAACAGTTATCAACTTACGCAACATTAAAGGATAAACAACGCACAAGGTACTAGTTTTTTTTTTCTTTGCGTAACATCAAGTTTTAACAAAATCAAGTAAAAACGAAAAGGAGTCCATCGCAAAAATGAAAAAAAATTATATCTAAAGGGTATCATGTTAAAAAAACGGGTTTTCACTTTGAAATAATGGAATAATAAAACGATTGTTGCCTTTATATGTGATCAATTCCATAAATATACTTATTTTGTTGTACATTGTCTTTTACTATTGTCCCTTTGTCGTTTTTTTTTTCCCTTTTTTTTCCAAGTGCGCTTGACAAACTTGTGATACCTTGTGACTTGATAAGAATTTCATCATGTTAAAAAAGAATTTTGGTATATATAACCACATTCCCACAGAACCTGTCCAATTTCGACTATTTCAACCTCTTTTCCCCTCATAGTTGCTTTTCAACAAGTTATCCACATTCCAAATTTATTATACATTTGGTGGCCCATTCGCCATCAAAACGTTTTCAAAACCTTGTATGATCATTTATTTATATTTGGCAATTCCTCATGTATGATTTTTTTTTGAATATACCAATTCAATGAGTCCAATTTAAACTTGGTCAGTTTAACCATGGGATCAGAGAATGCGTGAGAGAATTATTCGATAAATTTGAATAAATTAAAGAGAGATTGGTAAAAAATATCTCGATATTACAGGTTTATCATCAGGATACCACCAAGTGAAATTTTTTTATCGCGTATAAAGATCAAATCTTACGCGTAGTTTGGCGTAAAATAAAATAAGCAATATAAATAGATTTATGGAATGGCTGATGTTATGTAAGCCAGCAGATAATCGACCTTTTGGTTCACAACGCATACAGCGTACATTGACCACATCGGAGCTTCTCTAGATTGGGATGGAGTTTTTGCCAGGATTCCATGTCACTTATCACATAACATCACCAAAAACCCTTACCGACATATTTTTCGAACAATGAAAAAAATGGTGACTTTTTAAGGAAAAAAAGGTTTGCTTATATAATGAACTAAGAGTTTTAATAGTATATAGAATACCCTACCATTAAAGATCAATATAGCATTATATAGCAAATAAAAAAAGTCTCCGAAATTACAATTACCTGTGCTGTAAAAAAAAAAAAATTAAATTTTATTGAGTCACAGAGTTTAACCTGTCAATTGTAATCACCCCAATTTTTTTTGTTTTCCCGATTTACTTTAATTTTTATTTTGTGTAATTCGGATTATTGAATAATCAATGAGGAGGAGATTTTTTAAATTATGAGTTTTATTATTTTTTGTTCATTGGTAACATATCTGCTTTGTTTACCTAACACAGAATATTATCTTGCTTTTTTTTTATATAATGTCTACTTCAACTAGACATTTTTTTTTTTCGTACATGCATGATATTTATTGTTTTCTTTTATTTTGCATTTTAGATTGGTTACAATTCTTTTTTTTTCCCCACCTTCATATTTATTTGAAGTTTATTTTTATTTTTATGATTTGATTAACAACTTTTATCAGATTAATTTTAGTATAACTTGGCAATAATAATATATATATTTTTTTTCTGTGGTGCATGTCAATATTTGGACAAATGTTTGGATGTGTATGCAAATGACGTATTGGGGTAAAATCCAAGGCTAGAAGATCGGAGTAACAAAGACAAAAATCTTTGGATGAATATGATGGCATTCTATGTGAAGATAAAGAGAAGTGAATTCGGGAACAACAAGTCATAATGAACGAAACATCCATCATTGAAGTCTTAAAAGAAGCAGTTTGATAAAAATATTACTTGTGTAATTATTTTGGTTACCTACGTAATGGGTCACATAGAAAGCTCATTCGATGAAGGTTAATAATATCTGACCGGTTTTAGTATGGGTTGGAACTTTAATCGGTACATTCTGATAACATAAAACGTCAAAATCATTAATAAATAAATCAGATATTAGATATCAGATTTAATAAATGGTATCCAAAAAGTTGATCCAGTGACCTACATCAAATGAACAAAATATTATAATGTATTGTAATTAATATATGCGTAAAATATAAACAAATGTAACCCTGCAATATAAATAAATTTTTTTTTTTTCATTTATTATTTTTTTATTTTATCTTATTTTATTTTATTTTTTGGTCAACAAACTACGTAAATAAGGTCAAAGGTTCATATTGTATAATTATTATTCTGGTTACTCCGGACTCCATTTGCCACTTCGCGTCTAACCGTCTAACCACAAGTGTTTGTTTTATTTTTTTTCATTCATAGAATCTTGGAACCCCTTCTTTACCCTTTTTTTTTTTTTATCATTTATTTGTATTTTCCTTTTTATTAAGTAAAAAAAATAAAATAAAACAAACAAAGTTATCGCCAAAAATGGGTCTTCGCGTCAAAATGTTTTAAGAAACAGTCACGGAAAACGGAATTGGCGTTCTTCATTCGAGACGTGATCTTATTCTAAATTCCCACGAAATATATTAACATTTATTCTTTTTTACCGAACTGTGGTTGGTTGGGATACCTTTTTTTTTTTTCATTTGCTACACAAACCAATCGCCGTCACCCTTCTTTTCATCCCCAAAAAAATTATTATTAATATATAAAATAATAATAATAATAATAATATAAAAAAAGAAAGAAAGAGAAAATAAAATAAAATCATTTTCGAAACAAATGAAACCATTTTATTTATCATTATAATAATAAAATTAAAACTAACCGACCATTGGGCCTTTCTTTGTGATTGATGGTTTTTGTTTTCTTTTTTTTTTTTTTTTTTTTTTTTTTTTTAATAACCATCGGTAGGTCCCTCCTTTAAATTAAAAATGTTGTATTATGTATAAATAATAATATAAATTTTAAGTTTTTTTTATGATTGTAAATTAGTTAAAGTTGTTAGTTTTACTGAAATGTAAACAATAGTTCGAACCTGTGTTAACTATTTATGGATCAGGCATTTAAAAAAAAAAATTACTACTATTTAAAGTATTAAAGGAAAAAAATTTTTTCTCTCTTTTTTTTTTTTTTATATTAAATTTGATGTAGGTATGTAAAAAAAAAAAAATAAAAAACTTTTTTTTATACAGTGTGTTTAGTATCTCTGTTTAAAAAAAGGTTAAATAGTTGAGGTTACATATACAAAAGCCAAAAAGCCTTAACTTTAAATACCAACTCAAAGTTAAACTGCACACAAAAAAAAAAAAAATACTCTTTGGTATAAAAACAAAGAAGATCGAAAAAAAAAATTTTTTCTCTATAAAATAGTCCCACTTCATGGTCACTTCCAATAACGAAAAAAATATTTAAAAATTTTTTTTTTTTTCTGCTTTACGTTTTCTACTCTATTTATTCCGAAAAGAATTCTTTCTTTTCAAATCATTCTCCTCATATCTTCCACTCTTATGTGTAAAGTTTTATCATATACTTCAGTATATATAATCTTTGAAATAAACCACAATTATTCTGATTCAGTTCTCATTTGAAGAAAAAAACAATATTCGAAGGAAACTTCTTAATCAAGTTTAGTTTAATCACAAATTTATTTTGAGAGAACAACAAATAATACGCTTTTTATTTTATGATTTTATGTCATCAAATTAAAAAGTCTTTAAAAAAAAAAATTTATTCTATCACGGGATTTTTCATTACCTTGAAACTATATATAAAACACGCGATTCATTTCATTCTGCAATAAATCCCTTACTCTTTTGTAAATATTAAATCTTTCTTGTAACGAACAATTTAATTTTCCTATAAAAAATACTCCTCGTGTACAATAATTTCTTTAATTTAAAAAATGGAACAACCATCAGTCACCTTTACCGCCACTCAATCCGTTGATTACCTCGGTCAATCTCACAAATGGACCGAAAGTGAAGTTATGAGCTCCTACAAAGAAATTTCTAAACAGCTCAAGACAGTTCAAGAGAAATTACGTGAAGAGCGTGAACAAAAATTATTAAGGAGCAGAACCAAAAAGGGTTCTTCACGTTCCGCTCAATTAGCTCAAAAAATTTCCCAAGTTCCTGCAAAATCACAACAACCCCCGCGTGGAAAAAATGACGCTATCATAGGAAACATTAGCAGGCAACTCAAACAGCAAAAGGATGAGTGCGCTTTACGTGCTGAAGAAAAACGATTAATTCGCATGAAAAATGCTTTATGGAGACGAATGGGTCCAACGGTTGGCTGCGTAGGCAAGGGAAATAAGCTTGTATCTCCAAAGACTTTGAAATGGTAAGTATTTTTTTTTTAAAAAAAAAAAAAAAAAATGTAAAAGTTATTTGTATAGAGGAGGGAAAAAAGGAGAAACGAGTCGAGAGAGGGAAAAAAAAAAAATTTACTATTTTTTTTTGGAGGGATATTTTTTTTTTTTCAGGGGGTGGTGGTACGTTGTGAGCTTTTCTGTGTGACCTACTTTATTTTAGCTCCCCAATTTTTTTGTAATGGGGAGATGTGAAGGATAGACAAAAAACTAATTAAACTAATTGGTTGAGGCGATTAAACCTGAATATGGAAATACAAGATTTTTTATTTGTGAAACTGTTAAAAGCAATAACTCCCTTCGGAACTTTTTATTTCGTTTTTGACACTTTCTGTTAATCCTTGTTGTTTGTCCTCCACCTTTTCTTCTTCGATAAGATTAGATTTTTTCTTTTTTTGGGTTTATTTTTGGCGGGCTTTTGCGAGTCCTACGAAATGTTTACTCAATGACCATTCATTTTAAGCTTTATTGTTATTGTCTTCTCTTGTTTACATGTGGTGGAACTTTTACGAAACATTGGTCACACAAATACAAAAACGCGCGCCCTCACTCATCTCATTTCTATTTTTGTCCTTTTTTTTTCTTAACAAATAACAACGAACGATCACAAATACTCACCTTTTTATATCCTTATTTAAAACCAATAGGCAAAAGGAATGTGATATCCTTTGGTTATTTGGTCCTCTTTACCAACCAGACAATGATCCATTCATGGAAGACGATGATGATAAGACTTTGGTAGGAAGTCCACCGGCCACTTGTTGCCCACCTTCACCTATGTTATCACCATTATCATCCCTTTCTTCTTCCCCAAGCTCGCCTTCAATCTACATCAAACCGGCTCTCAAGAAAACCGTTGAACATGATCCTTTGAAAGACCTCATTTCTTACGCTTGTGAAGTGTTGGCCAACGAAAAGTCTTACTCTGGACGTCGCTATACAACTCCCCTTCCCATTAAACCTAAAAAATCTATCAGGTTCAGTCGTAACCTTGAACAAGTTCATTATACTCCCACGCATTACACAATGCGACCTCCTCCCACACGACGTAGAATGAGCAACCCATTCTTCGTAAAGATGGAAGAGGATTTGTCAAATGGAAAGAATGTTGAGCAATATGATCAGATATTTGCATGGGCAAAAGAACAAGTTAAATCCACCGGTAAAGTCCAGTTATTCGGTGAAGATGGTGCTTGGTTGGGTGGAAATCACGATGATGACGATGACGAATTCGTAATGCCACCACTTCCCCCTTTGGTAAAATCAAGACGATCTCCGTCCTCATCTCCTCGATCTCCGAACCGCAGATCTTCCGCAACGCCACCTGCAGCTTACACAGCCGCCGCAGCCAAAAAGAAAACATCAGCCTATTCTAAAAATAACTTTGTCGATTCAAGATATATGAGTTCCCACGTGGCTGTCGATGGCGATTCTGAAACTGCAGAATCAGGAGTTGTACAACGCTGTGTAAATGTTGCATCTAATGTCAAAGATGTTGTAAGCTGGTGCGGTTCCATGTTATGGAACAGTACCGTTTTCTAAACTTCTTCCACAAAGAAGGTTAGAAAGGAAAAGCAATAGAAACAAGATGACCAGTCACGTCTTTTCCTTTCAAAAAAAAAAGGTACTTAAGGACCTTTGATTTCCTCATTTTCCCAACAACAAAAAGTATTTTTTAAAATATTTTTTGAACATTTTCTTTTTTTTTTTTTTCTTTCTTATTTCTTATATATTATCCCCTTTTATTTTTTTTTATCATGGACATTATATTATTATCATAATGAAAAGGTTATAATGATGAACATTTTTTCAACTTTGGGTTTATTAGGATGTTTATATATTTATCATATTGGTTTATACATTTACTTTTATGTATTCCATCGCACTTGTGTAGTTAGTTCCCTTTACCTTTACGCACTATAATGTGTATTAATTCTTTCACGGTTCTATATAACGTTTTTTACCACTATTACTTTTTGGTATTGTATACCACTCTCCTATTTTTTACCACTATATTCCCTCAAAAAAAAAATTATAAATGTTTGTGTTTGTTTAATTTCACTCGAAAGTCTTTTTTACGTCCATAATAATTTGCGCAACGCTTTGCCATATTATTATTTAATATCGTTTATCTCGACTATTATTTCTCTCTTCCATTTCAACAATCAACAAAATTGCATGTTTTTTATTATTATTCGATTATTTTAATAAAAACACTCCCCTATCATAGCTTTATGAGCAACAACAAACTACCTTACTCTTTCAATTCACCATCGTCAAAACCGAACAAAGAACGAAGAGGAAGGCGAGACCTTTAAAAAGGGTCACACACACGCTTACGCACACGTTCATATCTCTGTTTATTCATTCAACCAACTTATCTTCACACTAAACAGGTGGAAAGGGACACTCCAAGAGATCACTGAAATTATTGAAGCTGGTCACTGTCGAATGGAGCGATTCCTAAGGATGTAATCAACCGCAGGTCACTGCCACATGGGTCTATACCTAAATACTGAAAGAAAAAAATACAACTATTGTTACCTTTAATAGTTTTACCCTTAATATCATATATCATATCTTGGTATATACAACCCTTTTTCTTCTATTTATTTTTTTTTTCTCATCGGTATGATGAAGTTATAAAGCCCGGCAAACGGTGCAACCGTATTCTCTAACGAAGAACCGCACCGGCACACGGAGCTAGGTTTCCTTGATTTTTTGCAGCATGTTGTTTTTCCACTTTTTTCCTGTGTTGGATTTTTTGTTTTTTTGAATCAACCAGTTTTATGTTCTTGTGGGTGGGTTGTCTTGTATGTGGAATTTTTTTTTGGATTCTCACCTTATCTCGGATTTCTTCTGTTTCGTTCTCACGATTGATGAAATGATTGCAGCACAAGATTCCGAAAAAAAACTTAGTATTTAACAATAATATAACAACACCTCGACAACAAATTATTCATTACCAAAAAACAAAATTAAGCTTTCAATTTCCGTTCATAATTATGTCCAATAATTTACCATAACACTTTTAACATATGGCATTTTAATCATTCATCCCGCGAACTTATTTTCCCAAAACTCGAAATTTTTTTTGTTTGTGTTTGTGATTTCCTCAATTTTTCAAATCGTTTATTCCTAACTTTCGAAATTTTTTTGTTTGTGTTTGTGATTTCTATTTTATTTAATTAATTTCAAATTCCAATTCATCCATCATCATTTGTAAATTATGCTCTACTAGTACCGCCATTCGCCAATTCTTATTTTTTTTTTATGACTTTTTCCTTAATGAAAAAGAATTCGCCAATTCCATTAATTTCACGAATTTATCGTTTTTTATCGAATTACTGTTCACGAATTTATTGTTCCTTATTCAGATTTTTGCCAATTTTTTTGTTCTTAATATTCAGATTTTGCCAATTTTTGTTCCTAAAATATTCAGATTTGCCAATTATTCATTGTTCCTTCATAATTCAGATTTTGCCAATTTTTAATGTTCTCAAATATTCAGATTTTTGCCACTTTTTTGTTTGTCATATTCAGATTTTGCCAATTTTTTTTTTTATTCCTGTTCCTGTTCGTTTCAGATTTTGCCAATTCTTAGTTTCCGTTCATTTTTTATTATATTCAGATTTTTGCCAATTTATATTTTGTTCCTTATATAATTCAGATTTTGCCAATTTTTATAATCGTTTTGCCAATTTTTTGCCTTAATTTTTTACTTTTTTTTTTTTTTATTCTTTCTTATTTTATTATTATCTTATTTTTTATTATTTTTTTTTTGTATATTTTTTTGTTTTTGGGTTTGCAAATGTTCGTTTTGTCAATAAAGTACGAAAATTCAGATTTTTGCCAGAGAAAAAAAAAAACAAAAAATAACAGCGTTCCAAAGTGATATCATTTATTTATTATTAAATTATTGTTGTTGATTGATTTTCTTGCTCTTGGAAAATTATAAAAAAATAAAAAAATAAAAATTAAAGTCAATCGTGACGGTTAGACCAACATGACGCTTTCTACACGCAGCAAATAAATCGGAAATTAATTCTTCATTTGGAAATGCCGAATTCATTTATATAGAATAAATAAAATGGGCAATTCAATTCTTTTTTATTTTGATCGACAAGGAATTAATTTATTGTGAAAATGTACTAATATCAAAAAACGTTTTTTTTTGATCTCTATTATTATTTTTTCTTACAAAGAATAAAATAATTTTTGTTAACCATAAAAAGATTTTATTTAACGTATTATGTAAGGCGAGCTGCGGCATGTACATTATTGCATACCTTATCAAAGAAGTAGATCATTGTGAGAATGAAGCGTTATTAATGGATCTCTTTGATAAAAAAAAAATTTCAATAGCGCCAAAAGCGTTTTAAGGCTTAGTGATCCAAGTAAGGGCTGAAGGAAATCACACTGCGCTATCAATAACAAAGTCCAGACTGCAATAGGAAATTATTTAATATGTAAAGAGTGGAAAGGAGCGAATCACGTCATTAGTGAATACAAAGAAAAAAAAAAAGGATTCCTGTTGTATTAAAAAAAAACATGTAAATGTAATGCGAGAGATTTTTTTTATTACTAGTATCATCACTATTCGTTTCCTTTTGTTCCTTTTCTTTTTTTTCTTGAAGTACAAAGGAGACAAAAAAAAAAAAAAAACTTGATTGATTTCTGGAATTAATGTCATTTTTTCCTAATTACATTTTTAATCAAGAATCAGTGAAACCGAGTTTTTTGAGTAAAAAGTGCTTAGTGAACAATTGTAATAAAATGATTGGTGATTTTTTTTATTTATAGATCAAAAAAGGTGGGTATTACAACTTTTTTATGCTTCATGAGCTTTGCTTGTGAGATCATAAGACGTTGAATAATATAAACAGGCGCCGGTTCAAAAATATCCATATTTGCATACATTAATAAAAATGCAGTAAGACATTCAAAAGTATCGAAGGCCAAATAAGTAGTTTCATTTTGACTAATACAAAAAGTCCGCATGAGAATTTCCGAAACCGATTTGTATACCGTTTTTGATATAATACCTTTTTTTTTACCTCCGGATGAATGGATTTATTTTTAGATGCGGCTTGGTCGGTCGGGAACGGTCGTGAAGGTGGCACCCATCTTGCGGTCAGTGGCTGGTGACAATCTAAAAATAAACGGCGAATCGATTGGTCGCATTTACCAATAACAACCAAATAGTAAACATGGTAAACATGGTAACATAAAGTAAATCACAAGTGATGATAATCCTTTGATGATTTGTAAAAGGAAGATATAAAAGATGTTTTAAAACAATAGAAAATAAAAATCATATTGTTGTCATTATGCGTGTGATACTTTTTTCATAGTAAGAGCAATTAAAGGATAAACCATTTCGGAATGTCGGGGATAAATATGAAAATGAAGCAGTTTTGTTGTGCATCCTACAAAATTGTTGTGTTGTATCAACGGATTCATAGGTCGTGTGACATTGTTATTCGTTTGTGGTCTGTGTGACTAAATTACCACGCAACGACTTCATTATCCGGATTTGGTATCTGTCAAAAAAGTAAAGAGAATGAAAATGGTACAAGCAGTTTCCCGCCAATTGCCTATTATAATTAATTTCGGAAATAAATCATATTTCAAATTTTTTTTTCATTTTCTTTTCCTTTTCTTTCCGACATGGATCACCAATCACGATGAGACAGGTATTACGATTTTGTATAAGGATATAAAAATAAATAAACAAAATTCCGAACGCCAAAAAAAAAGGTCGTGTGACCGAAAAATTATAAATTATTTTTTTTTTCCCTTAAATAATAATTATTATTATTTATCATTATCATTATAATAATAATTATTATAATGCTTACTACTTTATTACTTTTTTCCTTTCTTACCGTTCTCGCTGTTTACTAATTATGGTTAATTCTGAACACTTTTTACAGTAAATAATAATGTCCAAATTAAAATCGCAAAAAATACCACACTGCATGAACATGATGTTCAAATGGGCGTTTGAGTCGAGGTGACAAGACCAATGATCACGTCATCTGAGTCATTATAATGCATGTACGTTATACTGTCCTAGAGATGTTTGAACCTTCTCCCCCACAATATGCAACATGCGATTCAACCGATATTATTACATAGGGACTTTACGTAAACGCAATACATTGATTACATCTTATAACCTTAAATTTTCATAAGATCTTCTTTATTATTTTTATTTTTGTTTTATTCTCGCACAAAATTTATCAAGATGTATTAGCTGATGTATGAATTAATTAATCGAAACATGGGGATAAAAAAAAAAAAAACCAAATAAAATTCCGGGAAAGGACGAAATCCTTTTTTCCTCTTTTTCCGAAAAAAAAAAAAATTAAGAATTTCATTCGTATGATGTAACCCCCAGATTTCAGAAATCCGTAGATCCAGGTGTGACGTCGCGCAGCGTTCAGGTGATGAGTTAAATGTAACGTAAGGTGTCGTTTTGAAGAAAATAGAGATTTTTTTGAGGACCTGGTACCCAAGTCGGACCCGAGTCAATTTTT